GCTCCTTTCATTAAAAAAGAATTTGAATAATATCCCCAATAATCTGAGAGAATGTAGATATAGATTTGTCAATATATGAACAGAATCTTATAGAAATAACAAAGTTTCCAGAAATAATTATAATCTGCTTAAAAATAAGAACCACCTCCTTATAAAAGTTCTCCCCACCCCATGAGAGATGGATTGAAGGAAGGAAGGAGTCATGCTTTCATTCTGTAATTCTTCATTGATTATCTTTTTTGTCTCCACATCCCGGACAAGGTGTTGGGAATCAAAGATAAGCAATCCCTAGAGGCTCTCAATGTTTCCTAGGTGAGCTGGATACGCATGCCTAATTAAAGCATGTCTCTCCCCGTAACTCTAAGAAGAGGTGCGCCTCCCGGGATCTGCTAGGAATTGCCTATATTCTTCTCCGAATGTGGTCAACACTTATGGCTGTACCTTGTAATTTAGCACTTAATGAAATATCTTGTCCAGTGTCTAGATGCATTGTTCTTTATTCTCAATTCCTATTTTGTAATGTGCAACCATGATTTATTAGTATTTTTTTATTTCTTTAAAATGCCCAGTACGATAAAAGACTGACAGTGGACACCAATCAAACAAAAAGATCATGATATATACAATCTAGGTCATAGTACAGGGGAATCACCCTTTATATTAGAATATCAAAGGAAGAATTCTATATCATATCATCTTTGAGCACGTACTTAAAATCAAATATCAGAATTCCAGATTTCTTTTAAAAGAGAAAAGTTCTCTACATTGCTTATCATTACCAAGTTCTTACTTTACTTATTCATTTTGTTTATTGAAATCTTCCCTCATAGAATGTAAGCTCCATGGGACAGGGATTTTTCTCCTGTTTATTTACTGTCCTATCCCAAATTACTAAAAAGGTGCCTGACACATAGAAGGGACTCAATAAACATCTGTAGAATGAATAAAGGAAGAAATAATTCCTATTTTCAAAACAAGCCAGAAGAACGTTATTGATGTAGTCTACATTATACATATGGAGAGATGCACACATAGGAAATATATATATATATATATAGGATACACAGGGAAGTATATAAATGGGAGATATATGTATATATTATATATGCAAATGAAAGAACAAACTCTCATAAGGTCAATAAATGAACAAAGTTTAATGATTATATCATAGGTCAATGGAATGTCCTGACATACTTCCTCAGTACTAACATGTGTATAAAATAGCCTAGTATTTTGGAAATCAGACTGCATTTTTAAATTCATTTGTACATGTAATTTAATGGCATTCTAATTGTTTTTCTCCCTATCTAAAGGCTATTAGTCATTTTACAGCCTGTGTG